CGTTTTGAAGATAAGAACAATATTAGCCCTCCTCTGATAATCCAGCACTTCACCCAACTCCATGATTACAAGAAAATAATAGTCAGTGGTTCTGAGATTTCTTCAGTCAGTTCTTAAAATATCTTTGGATGCAATTCATCCAGTGTTGAGGATTTGAACTCATTCAAATAAGCTAATCCTTGACTATTTATCAATCGGAAGCTGCAATCCTGTCCCCTCCCAGTCAGTTCTTAAAATATCTTTGGATGCAGTTCATCCAGTGTTGAGGATTTGACCTCATTCAAATAAACTAATCCTTGACTATTTATCAATCTGAAGCTGCAATCCTGTCCCCTCTTTGTACTTCACATTTGCCTGTAGGGTCATAGACTGTCTTTTGGGAAAAGGCTTAACTGTAGTAGGAATTGAAAACTCTTGTCTTTTCTTTATAGTCTGTTATCATTTTCCATCCCCATTGAGTAGGTGAGCCACTATTTCTTTTCCCTGTCTTTTCTTATGCATATACCTGGGCTTTGTTTGTTTTGCTTTTAAAGTTTCTTGCTAACTTCAGCTCATTCTCAGCTTTTGGCTTCCTAACACCACCCCTGCAATTGTTCGCTACTTGTATTTTTAAATTTGTGGCCTTCTTTCCACTTCCTATGTATGTCCTTTTTTAGTCTTCAGGTCCCCTCTGAGCTTTCTGTGAAGCCACATTAGCCTTTTTTGCTGCCTTCCACCTTTCAATTAATGACCTCTACAAACTCCTAACAGTAAGCACATTGGCTGCACTGGGATCTTGCAAACTAAACAGCATGACTTCTTTTACTGAGTTGATCCTCTATTGTCAGGTTAGATTGCATTATGCATCTAAATTCCTAGCAGGGTTATCCAAGGTGGAATGCCTCTTAGTCTGACACGCAAGACTAAGAGGCATTTATCCTGCTAAAGAAATTATGGCTGCATGAACAGAAAACAGATAGTTACGACAGTGATGGGGTGGATAAATTCTTAAATGGCAGCTATTGAGCAGCAACAATAGCGGAAGGTGGCACCAGCAGAAGATGCTTCATAGACAATGGCAGTAATACTAAATTTAACTCTTGTGAGGAAGGTGACGGTGGTAAACAATTTCTGAATATTTTATACCTCAAAAACCCTGTAACACAATGGGGAGTTGTTGAAAAATCCCCCTTGCTCCTTTTAGTGGCAAAACCATTTATTTAAATTTAAAAATTGGTGTAAGGGGCTCCAAGGGTGCTTGGGGGACATGGACACATGGCAAAATTGACTACATGGCCTGCAAGGAGGCATAACAAGACATTCTGAGCCCAGCTTTTTTCCACCAAAAATATATTGTTTTGAAAGATTTTGGGGGAATGCAGAGATCCTCAAGAGTGCTGGAAGATACATTTGAGACCCCGGGGACAAAATGGAGATACAAACTGTCTAGGTGAGATGTTGAGGGAGTTGCCTATGTTTGGCCTTGAGAGGAAAAAATAAAGAGTTGATAAGACAAGCTGTCTTTAAATATCTGGTAGGATGTCATTTGGAACATGAGCTTGTTCGAAGCTGCCTCAAGGCCCAGGGCATAAACCAGTGCATGCCAAAAAAGTAGATTTTGAACAAAAACATCTGACTGAACCTTTAAAAGCTGTTTGACTGTGGAACAGATTACCTTGGAAAGCAATGGATTTTCTTTCACTGAGTTTTTTTTCTACACTGAGGCTGGATGGCCATCTATCCAGGATGCCTTTTTAGCTGTGGATGCTCTGCAATGTTCTGAATTATCCTTGGGGTAACTCTCAAAGCTACAGTTCTATGATTCTGTAAGCCAGCTTTCATATTGCCCCTAAACTACCCCCCCAAAAAAGTGGCTGGAGCTGAACTATAGAAAACGTGTACACGTTCAAGAAGTTCCCTTTCTGTTGTCTTTAAGTACATTTGTGAGACTTCTCCAGAGAAATATTTTTATTACCAAGCAATGGAATGTTGACAAGAAATAGGACCACCTAAAATCAATTAGTAGGTCATCTTTTTCAAACATATCCATATTGAATGTAAATGGTGGAACAAGCCTACGTACAACAGTGAACTCCTCCTATTAGACAGTGAATTGATGAGCCTGGATTCCAGTCTTGGATCCATCTACCTCCTCAAGTTCCAAACATGAACTGATTATCCCTCCCTCTGTACACGCTGCAACAACACATAATCACCACTACAAATCCAGATGGTAACTGAAGCTGAAGAAAACACTTTTCATTGGTGCCAATGGGAATTTTTTTTGTTTGTTTCTAAAAAGTCATCATAGCTTTGAAGGGAGGATTTCCAACAGAATTACACAATTGATGAAGGTTTTGCTCTGACTTCTTTTCTTTCTGTGCTCTCCCCAGTCCTCCATCATAAAATGTAAAACATGGAATTAAAATAACGTACCAGTGCAATGAATTAAGGCAATAATTTAATTTTTTTTTATTTTTGGTAACAAGAACTACATTTCAAAAGTAAGGCAATGAGTGGCAACAGCATTAGTTGTTCGGGTGTAACAGAAATGTACTTTAGTTAATTTAAAAGTTATTTAATATTGGCTATTTTAAAGGTGCCATTGTCTCTTAAAGGTGATTGAAAATAAGTGAAGAGCAAGTGCACTGTATATGATAAGTGGGGAACTGAAAGAAGAAAAGAAGCGGAGATGAATGGCATAACTTTAATGCACAATTGTCAAATGTACCAAAGCCTTCTCCAATGAAGCACTTTCCAGATGGATGACACACTGCATCATTCCTAGCTGGCAACTTAATTTAGGTATTTGTTGACATCCAGAAAGTGTCATGCTGGAAAAACCAACTCAAGATCCTCAAAGAACACTTTCAGAGGAGGCAAAAAATAATAATAGTGTCTCGTAGGCAACTGTATCAAGTGAACTATTATATGCGATTGGTTCTTCATAATAAAAATAAAAGCAGAATTACTATGGTACTTTTAAGATTAACAGATTTATTTCAGAGAGAGCTTCTGTGGATAACAATCCACGTGCATGCAGTTTATTCTGCCAGCCCTACGGTTTCTAACATTAACATCAATTATCAACCCAACAGCTCCTCAAGTAAACAGATTTGACTTCTGAGCTTGGTGACAGCTAACTGTATGTATTATGTCCCCCACTTCCTTTAATTAACCTTCCCTGTTAGAGCCAAGCAAAGCATTTATTCCTAATTTTATTTGCATGACTTCTGTACAATTTAAATAACCCCAGTAATTACATTAAAATTTGCATATATAGCTGTAAATTAGTGAATGCAAATTTTATGCAGAGTGTCATCCTATGGGTCTAGACAGAGACCATTTATGTCTGGCAACGGTCCAGAACTTTAAGCATTGAGGAGAATATGTTCTCTGGTCTTTCCATGCTTAATTTATTTCAGGATCCACAATGAAGAACACTACAGGACTATCTCTATGCTCTGAACTTGCTACAATCTAAAATAGCACCTGGATTGCACAGAAAACTTGAGACTAAAATGAGCTCTGAAGGTATTATCTCTAAGAAGACCTAATGCAAGGGTAAGATTAATTATCCTCATTGCAAATTCTCTGCTACAGCTACAAGCCAAATGACTGCTTTCCCCACAGTAATTCATACATCTAACCTGTGGTGCAAATGTTAAAATAATCTACTATCTGGTAAAATGACATGGTCACAGGAGGGGGGTAATGGGTGTTTAGGGATTAGGTAATACAGTATCACTAGTTCTTCCTCCAGTGCACCTAAACTGTTTGGGATTGTTTATTTTTCTTCTGATGGCTAAGCCCCCCCCCCACTGCAGTAGCATCTCAGTACAGCCTTAAAATTTGGGGTGGGGAAATTATAGGAGATACATGCTGTGCCCCCAAAGAACACCCCCGTTCCTTCACACTGTACCATAACCACACTATTCTATAAATTTCTAACAAATGCACAAGAATTTTCTTGAAGAAAATATTTGTGTGTGAACCCATTTCCCTTTGAAGCAAGGGTACCTTAACCTATAATAATATAGTGAGACATGTAATTACAAACTCAGATAAACAAAAACAAAACAGCTAAAGATACTTGGTGGAGGCAAGCATTTCAATGAAGGAGCTGTAGTGTACCACTTCCCCTTGGAAAGGGAAGACCAGGATTCAATTTCTGCTTGATGTACTGAACTAACAAGTCAATGCTCTTTAAATCAGGGGAGGGCAACCTGTGGTTTCCAGATGGGAGATCCCAGTCTTTCTACCTTTATAACAGAGCCTGAGAAGGAAAAATAAATCCTCGGATCCCCAGCCAGCATTGCGAGGGGTGGGATTCTTGGGATTTTAATACAAATGATTAATCTCCCAAAGTTCCGCTTCAAAGTCTTCGCCTTCATTATCCTACGGGCCTTCCCTTCGACAGGATCTCTTGATTTCCAATACTGTACTTTTAAAAAGAACCGTTTACACGCGCTGAGGCTGCAACGGTTTAACGTGATACTCGTCCGTGTGAATTAACCCCATATATACGAAGCATTCCGTTACTAACCTTTTTTTGGTCAACTCTCTCTCTCTTTCCTTCTTTCAGAGACGTGGGAATGGGCTTTAAATTAGGAGTCTCAATCACTAGGCAAACGGGGAAGGCCTCCGATCTGTTGGGGGGAAAGTTGCTGGAGCGAAGGAACATCCACTTTCCCAGCTACCTGGGAGCGCTTGGCGTTGACACGCATGTGGCCCTCGGCGGGCCACCTTTTTTTGGTCAACTCTCTCTCTCTTTCCTTCTTTCAGAGACGTGGGAATGGGCTTTAAATTAGGAGTCTCAATCACTAGGCAAACGGGGAAGGCCTCCGATCTGTTGGGGGGAAAGTTGCTGGAGCGAAGGAACATCCACTTTCCCAGCTACCTGGGAGCGCTTGGCGTTGACACGCATGTGGCCCTCGGCGGGCCACTTGCCCTCCCGC